CCTTACAAAATATTGATAATAACTATAATGTTTTATAAAACGTGCCAATTTCCTATTTATAGCAGTTTTATGAACACATTGAAAACATTTCTGGGAGAAATGTAGTTTTATAATTTGTTTCTCCGAAACGTTTCCGCAACTATTATAAAATACGAAATTGCTAGTTGGGTCATTTTTAATATTTCATCTTTTATTCATTATTCCAACCCAAATCATTATTTTATTTCAGGTCACGAAAATTAATTTGTTCAAACGGTTCCATTCTTTGATTCCTATCAGTTAAAAAACCACGAAAATAATCATTTGTACTATAAATCGGCTTCCTATCACAATCAAATTTGATAACTTGAGTCAGATAATATTTCTTAGAATACTTTATCAACCCAACCTATGAATAATTATTAGTTTCATAAACAAGATAGCAAAAAATGTAGACAGCCAATTCATTCACAAACATATTTTTTCGCTGATGGTAGGTATATAAGTTTCAAATAGAACGCTTCGTTCGGTATTTGGTCTTCTTACGTTATTTGGCGATTTCAAAGTGGTTCTAGAATAAAATTTGGTGAAAAATTCCACAGTTAAAAGAGAAGGTACGTTTTTATGATTCACCTATAAATGATAAATTCATATATTCAATGCACTGTCAAAATTTTCCGAAATAATTTTCAGCCCCTGCATCAGTCATTGTAAATAATTATATAAATTTTTTGTCAGTCTCCATTATCGCTATTACTCCATTTTGGGTTTCTATCTCATATATTTCATATTTTCTATCTCAACCGTAACCTGCCATTGATCAATAAAGATCAACTGCAACGAATAAAATAAGTTCGATATCGCAAACAAGTTCCTACTGGAAACAAAATAAAATTCTGAATCCATTCTTCCATTAACGGAAACTTCATATGAAAAATGCCAGTTGAATTGAGTATTTTCAACAAGTTGTAGACATTATTACATAATGTTTGTTTGAAAAAGGTTGCCAATGTTTCAAGGGGAATTTCACTAGTTCAGACTTCCGTTGCCTAATATTATTTCAATATGATTTGAAATCTAGGAAAAAATAAATAGAATTAATGAATATTAGTTTGGAAAAACTAAAAAACACGCTTTTATAGCTTATGAAACTAAAAAGTGAAAAATAAATATAGTTTTAAAAAACTAAAAACACGCTTTCAAAGCTGATTTGGGATTGTCTTCAACATCGATAATATGACCTATGGCTTGATGTTACTGATTACTTTCAATAAGTCTGAAAGAATAAATCTAGTTTGTTGTTAGTGAGCTTTAAATTATATTTTTATTCTAGCTCCAATCTGGCAAACAGCTCCTAACCAAGTATATCGAGTGGACCAACGAAAAGTATGCACCTTGCTTTTCCCCTTTTTTGTAACTTAACGCAAAAATGCTCGGACAGGTCAATTTTGCTTTTGAGGGGGATATATTTTAGATGTATTTTTCTACCTGTGCCTTCAACCCCCTAGCGAGGGTGAGTAACAACCCTAAAATTTTAAATGGAAAGTGGGGTCGAGTGATATGAGGCCTCATCGAATGGCCTGCCAGGTCACCTGATTTATCGCCTTTAGACTCTTTCCTTTGGGGACACTTGAAAAATAAAGGTTTTGCTACGCAGCCCGAGTCCATAGAAGATCTTCGCCAACGAATTACAGCAGAGTGCAGAAGTATAACACCTGATATGCTACAGAATGTTAGGAATAGATTTGAACAGAATCTGGATTATTGTATGAAAGCAAATGGGTCACATTTTCAGCACTTGCTGAAGTAGAATTCTACTAAGTCTATTACACATTTCAAAGTACTGGGTTATAGTTTGTTTTTATTCATAATACCTACATGTTTGAGTGAAATACAACAAATTAGGTATCATTAGAAAGATAATTTTGTGCCCTTTCAAATGTTATATCACTCGACCCCACTTTCTATTTGAAATTTTAGGATTGTTACTCACCCTCGCTAGAGGGTTGACCTGTCCGAAATTGACCTGTCCGAGCATTTTTGCGTTAAGTTACAAAAAAAAGGGAAAAGCAAGGTGCATACTTTTCGTTGGACCACTCTGTATAAAACAATGGATATTTCGCCTCCCACGGATTTCTACAACATGATGAATTTTTTATAAACAGATTCATTCTGATTTCAGACTTATTGAAAGCCATTAGTTTCATAAAGTCATAGGACTCATTATCGATGTTGAACACAATCTTAATTGAATCAGTTGAGAGTTATTCTTTATTTTCGGGTTTGTTTTGCTATTGAAACTGTGTAAGAGAAAGTGGCGATCCTGATCAGAATAATGAGAAAGATTTATGGAATTATTGTATCGCCACCGACTCTTGATAAGTGTACAAAGTTGAAAATGAATCTGTTCGTTTGTAGTTAACCAAAATCGAGTCCAAATTGTCCAAACATACAAGTGAAGTCGATGAAAGCGTGTTGGTTTTCTGTATCTGTAGAGTAGGGAGGGCCACAGCACTCAGGCCACATATGATCCATTGTACATCCTCCCGAGGAGTTGTCCTCGTAGGTCATCGTCCACCCTGTCCTTTCCAGGAAGATGGAACTAACTCCGTCATCACTTTGGCAAAGACAGCAAGAGCTTCACGAAGAAGAGAAACCACCATAACCAGTGCTTGCTCTTCCCTACGTCAGAGGATTGTCGTAAAGAATGAGAAGAATCCAAGTAAAACATCAGGACCTCTAGCAGCCTCTCGAAAACCAATCCACCGAACGCGAACTGCGATTCCAAGAATCACTTTTACTGAATATCCAGTGAGTGCGGCGAATTTTATATCGATAAAACTAAGCGGCCATTGAAAGTCCGCATAGTCGAGTACAAGAAATACACACAACGAGAAAAAAACCAGTAAATCGGGAATAGCAGAGCATGTTTGGAGTCATCAACATAACATTACGTGGTCCCGAGCTGAGATCATTCACAGTGAGGACCACTGGTTTGAGAGGAAGTTCAAAGAAGCCGCATACATGTTATCCTACGACGCATATAGCCAAGTTAGCGTAGAGATACGCAGTGAAAGCATTCGAATGACCTATAAATAGTCATCTCTTGGAGAAATAGTCCAATCATCAGCCGAATACAATTGTGAATACTAACAATAGAAACGTCGTGAAGTAACTCGATTTGAATTGTTTTTTAGTTTTTTAGTTTTTTCTATTTCTATTTTCATTCGTTGAATTGTCAATATCATACTCATTTTTATTTTTATTCCTCTTCACTTTGTGGTCATTCTCATCTTTTATTTTAATCATTTTATTCCTTTTATTGCATTTTCATTTCACGTTTTATTTCTTGATATAACTGATATTTCAGCTAACAATTTTAATTTTATTTGTTCTTTCATTGATTTCAACTAGCGTTTCCTAATATGACTAATAAACAATCCATGCAAAGCTTATTGTTGAATCATCTGAAAATGGAACTTTTAACAAGTGATGATCGACTGTATTGCCAAACATGCGCAAAACTAACTGACTGTTATAAGAAAACAAGTATATCTGAGGCACCAGTCAATATTCATAAATATATATAGCAACTTGATTTCGAATCATATTGGAATCATATCAAACAATGGAATGTTTTAGAGTAGAGTTCACAAACATTTTTTTCAAATTGATGGGTAATGATTCAGCACGAATGGTTTTTCGTGGTGAATCATCTCGATGAATTATCAATAGTTAATCATTTATTGGATGAGTGCATGGCACTATTATTTTCATTATTGGTAACATACTGAAACTTGTTCCAGAATTCGAAGCAGCAGTGGCAACGAAAATTCTTCCAGGAAGTCAATTCACAAGCCAAGAAGCCACACGATGTTAACAATGTTCGAAATCACAGCATATTTCTTATATTATTATTTCAAGATAATATTTTTGTATGTCATGCTATTACGTGAAGTCTTAATCTACTTCATGATAATATTTTCGACCTTCGTATTGGGAATTATGGATTGCTTTGACAGCTTGTCAACAAACAGTAAACTTTTTTGCAGATAAGTGTTTTGAAATGAATGAACTTTCTGTATTATCTCTTCTGTGATAACAAAAATGATGTAAAATTGTGTAATTAGTTGATATACATTGAATATTTTATTGGGTTCTTTTCGAATAATCTAGACAGTAGTTTGTTTCTTGAGAGGAACATGAAAATTTTGTTATTTTCTTGAGGTGGATATTGAATGTGATGTTATTCTACGAATTGTTATATCTCAAGTATTTTTATGAATAAATGTTGTTACTTAATATTCATCTAGTACTTTATTGTGAATTCAAGTATACCTATACAGCTCATAGGTAAGTGTTTCAAATTATCACAAAATTCTTTCTCATTTTATTGCATCAAAACTTGTCGATTCAATAACTGTCCATATCTTGAAGCACGAAATCCTTCACCCACGGCGTGTGTGTGGCTTTTTAATTTACTGGAATATATATTTATATTACAGAAGAGAGCTATACGATACTTATGTAATATTACTGTAGTTCTTCTCCAACACCAAACAGTCATTTTAGCACTCCGACACGTGTTTCGATCACCAAGTGTTCATCTTCAAGAAGAAGATCAAACAGTTTGATCTTCCTAGGGTTATATTTTTTGGGCTGTTCTTGATTTGGCCTTAACAAGTTCAAAAAACACTCTTCCTTCCACAACCTGTTCTTAGAAATACGCAGCAAGCATAAGCAGATTCAATGGGATGGATTCTAATTTATTTTGTCGTTTTGAAAATAGACAAGAATCCACCACATTCACAGTAGCTGATACCACTTGCGAATTCACTTAACCATACAATCTGGCCAAATTCAATTTGTTCATTTTGTGATATTGAGGGTTCCCCCCTGTAATTTGGGAAGATGAACTTTTTTCTTCAATATAATGACAATAATTGGTATGAACTTAAATTAAAAATTGAAAATGACCTGACAGAAATAAAATTGTGGTTTGATCATCGCTTATTGTCAATCAATTTCAACAAAACAGTTTACTTACCCTTCAGTAGCTTTGAAAATGCACTCCCCACCTTTGATATCATGATCCAAAAGAAATATAAAATAAATCAAGCCAAAAATATCAAATACCTTGGTATTGTATTAGATTGTCACTTTAAATGGGACCAACATGTGAGATTTCTGACTCAANCACACTCATGTCATGGATGTTTGAGATGAGGTCCTGATAATTACAGCATGCAGAGATTTCAAATTGATAAGAATATTTTCGAAAACCGTGATTCTGCACTCCCATAATTTCGCTCATCAGAATGTATTTCCCACAATTTTTTGTTAGAATGAGGTTCATCTTTGAACTTTCCATCAGTTTGAAAGCTATAAAGAGTACTCTGAAGGAAAATTGGATGTATTTCAATCACAAATCATTTTCAAAGAGAATCTTGAAATTTGTCAAGTTTCATGTACACCACTTTTTGAAAAATTAATGATAATCAACATGCTAGGAATCGAATTTGAAACGTTTGTGTCTAGTTTGTACAAGTTTAGGAACGACAGCTGCTAACAGAGAGAAATATCAACCCAGTTTCTACCAATCAACAAATATCAATACGATCAGCAAGGCGAATCCAGCAAAATTGCAAAAAAAATACATCAATTTGTAGCTAATTAGTTGCCAAAACAACGCTCCTGTCTATCCTTAGAAATCGCAAATAATGCTATCGTGATATCAAGGTAGCAAGGTATCTCAATAAATTATATACTTTCCCTTTGATCTTTACAGAATATTTAGTTGCTATTTAGTTACTAAACTTTGGATGTAGCGAAACATTTTCAAATAATTTTTTTAAATTTTTTCATGATCTTGCTATCTTGAAACTGTTTTTTCCTGGAACTGAAGATGTTCTAAATTTGTTGCTCACCAAGAGTAGACTTAAATACACCTTGAGTAACAGCAACAAAATAGTTGAAACCGATCGGCCGATTTTCAATCCTTTTTTTCATTTTCCTCATTCTTGCTATCTCGAAACTGGTTTTCCTAAGAATATATAGTGTTTCAAATTTGTTGCTCATCAGGAGTATACTCGAATGCACCAAAATACAACAAAATAGTTGAAACCGATCGGCCGCTCGGCCGATCAGCTTCACAGAAAATTTCTACCAATAAATACGGTTTATATGGGGAGATCGCACAGTATACCCACCACCTTTCGAAAAACAAATACTCAATTGGGGATTGGTGATGTTCATGGTGTAGGCTTTCACTGCCGTTGAATAACAAATTGTTCGATGTTTCCTGGTTCATTAGCCCTGGTCTGCAGATTTTCATACATGACATTTCATCTGCTACTGCGGCGAACATTATCAAAGAGATGCGACAACAGTCGGTCTACCCTGCTGCGCGAGCAGCAGTCAGTCAGTCTTTCAAGGACTACAGGAAAATCCTTAACGCTTTCCCGAAGCGGGACCAGTGCGAAAGTGGCGATTCACATTGGATTTGAATCGCTGAAGATTGAATCCATTTGGAAAAACTTCCTCAGGAAGTTCATTCCACATAAACGCCTTTCTCCAAATGAAATAATTCTTAAACAGTGAAGTTTGAGGTGTACTGAGTTGAACCTCAAAACGATGAGCAGTCACAGTCCGCTCTTGGTGGAATCAAATGCAAGTCACTTGAACACTTCCCGTGAAAGTATCGGTAGAAGAGAGACAAATCTTCAACCTTTCTTCGATGTTCCAGGATGTCAATGTTGCACGGGATGTTCGCGTCTTCAATCAGGCTGATGGCTCTTTTCTGGATGGCATCCAGCAACTTCAGGATAAGTTTGGGGGCAGAGCTCCATACATGTGAACAATACTCCAAAGAAGGTATGATCTGAGCTTTATAGAGCATCAAAAGTTGCTAAGGTGTGTACAGTTTTCTGGTTCGGAACAATGTTCTGAGCTTTTGAGAATCAGCCTTCGCGATTTAAGCGACATGAGTGTGCCAAGACATATTGGTGTCCATTTTAATCCCCAACTAACTTATCGAAGCAGAAAGCGGAATTGTCTGACCTGGTCAGTGGCGGATGAGGGAACGGCCAGGGGACGGGGTCCTGTCCGGGAATCCAATGCGGCCTCAAGGACGTGTTCGCCGGACTCTTGGTCAGTGACAGAAAGAAGTAGAGTGAGGAGCACTGAAACTCCCCAGAAGCCTCTGCAAAATATGCCACCGTGGACCACTCTACCCAAGCTAAGGTGTAAAGAATCGCGTCGACAGAGCTGAATTACCGCAGGGTGATATATGGGTACGCATGTCACTCTGGGGGAACCGAGCATAACCTCAGTGTAATCAGCTTTTCCCTGGTAATGCAGGGTTCTGCTAGAGGTGACCAAATCTTCCTTTTCTACTCGTGGGAACACACATGAATGAAAAAAATACAAAAACAGACACAAAAAAAACAAAAACCAATTCCGAGGCTGGACAGAAGTGCTCACCCCAATCTATGACGGTGGCTGAGGATGAATAGAAATGTCCACCCTAATCTACCGCTTGGAATAAGGCTGGACATAGCAGATACAGATACAGAATCAACCAAAATCTAAAGCCTCTACGGATGGAGCATGGCATCGTTATCGTAGTTTTCTTTAATTTCTTTGGAATAGCATGGTAACTGCAGTTACTAAGAGGCCCACCAGCAACTTCAAAATCGATTTCTGCAACATCAGAGGACTCAACTCAGATATAAACTCAGTGCACCAACACCTGCAATCAAATAGTCCTCATATTACTGCACCCAGAGAAACCAAAGTCAGTGCTCCAAAAAGATAAATGTCTCGGAACCGGATATAATAATGTCAGGTCAGACAATTCCGCTTTCTGCTTCGATGAGTTTGTTGGGGATTGAAATGGACACAAATATGTCTTGGCACACTCATGTCGCTTGACTTGCGAAGGCTGCTTCTCGAAAGCTTGGTACACTGTTCCGAACCAGAAAACTGTACACACCTTAGCAACTTTTGATGCTCTATAAAGCTCAGATCAGACCTTCTTTGGAGTATTGTTCTCATATTCTGAAGTTGCTGGATTCCATCCATTAAAGAGCCATCAGCCTGATTGAAGACGCGAACATTCCTTGCAACCTTGATAGCCTGGAACATCGAAAAATGGTTGGAGATTTGTCTCTCTTCTACAGATACTTTCATGGAAAGTGGTCAAGTGACTTGCTTTTGATTCCACCAAGAGCGGACTGTGGCTGCTCATCGTTTTGAGGTTCAAATCAGTACACCTCGAACACCACTGTTCATCACAGGGGAGCCCAAGCGGGGATTTCAGAATTTACTAAAGCGCGGCAGATTAATATACAGGGGAATACCTTGTACTCGGTTAAGTACCTCCACCAAATATGAGCCTCATATATAAGGCCGCCCGTGAAGGATAAAGGATCAGATTAGTAAAAAAAAATATCACCAGAAATTTTCGAGCGCGTCAGATTAAGGTAGGGTGAGTTAATTACATGTTACAAAGTGTATATTCCAGTAATCTGATAATTTGAGAGTGACGTAAAGAAAGAGAATGGCAGCAAAGTTGTAAAAAAAATAACGTCATTTCGACATCCTCAAGCGTAGCTATTTTTTTTATTTTGAAGGAAAGAATTCAAGGATAACGAAAAATATATAATTTGACGATTTCTGTAACCCGAAATAACAAAAATGCGTCGATAAGATTTAATGCGTGCAGCTGTGTGATACCTATATTTCCCCCTTCGGGTTTCTATTCCTCTTTTACTGTTTCTCTATCACTCTCTCACTTCGTCCCAACTCTGAATTCTGTTGCCATGACGTCATCACAGCTGATCACAGAGATTCGTTCGTGATGAAGATGAAAATGATGAATAATTAATCAATTGATTACAAATAATAAAAATTTTTTGAGCATATTTTTTCAATTATTTCCTTATGAATACAAGTATTCTATTTGAAAAACATACACTTATTTATTTGCATGATATTTCCTGAACTTTTCAATTAATTGAGTTCAATGATTTAAAAAAATAAAAAAAATACTTGTCAGATTAGGCGAATCCCTCTAGATAATCGTCAGATTATGAGACAGCACGTCTTTAACGTGAAGATGAACCATGTATATATCTTAATCTGACGCGCTTGAGTATTTCAAAATGGCAAATTTTTTTGCACATCATAATGGTGGTCGCGAATTTGCGTCAGATCGAAATCGTCAGATTATATTGAATGAGAGCTTTATTTTTGGTGCACTCAACACCCTCTTAGAGAATCTTTAACCCTTACGTACAACCAC